GAAGAACAACCCTGAAATCTGTGTCATAATAAAGCAAAACATGGTTCTAAGCAACCACTCAAAAAGAAATATTCCAGTAAAGATGTTCACCTGCACAAGTGGAACACTCTTGGGGCTTGTTATGTGGAATCACAGTACTGTAAGAAATTCTTTAGTTAGATTTCCACATGTGGTAAGTAAAAAGCAGCTATATTCACAAACAAATCAAAAAATTTTATGAACACCTAATTTGTATATATTCTAGCTCAGAATCTTTAACTGAGCACATGAATTTCTAAAATTGGTCATTATTTTTAGTGAAGAACTTGGCCTTTCACTGTACTTCATTTGAAAATAATGAAAGTATAAAAGATGATCTAAAGGACATTAAAGATGGGTTTGTTTTGTTTTATTTCCAACTGAAATAGAAAAATACTGTGGATATTGCTCTGTATAAATAAACACTGATTGGCCAGTAGCCAGACAGGAAGTTAAAGCGGGACTAACAGAGAGGAGAATTGAGGGAACAGGAAGGCAGACAGAGAGACTGCTGGAGCCGCCACCAGGACAAGGAAGATGTAAGGTACCAATAAGCCACAAGCCACATGGCAAAGTATAGATTAATAGAAATGGGCTAAATATAAGAGTAAGAGCTAGACAATGATAGGCCTGAGCTAATGGCCAAGCAGTTTAAATAATATAAGCATCTGTATGTTTATTTTATAAGTGGACTAAGGGACTGCCAGGGCTTGGTGGGACCTGAAGAGAAAACTCCAGCTACAGAAAAAATAATACCAATTCTTCATGATCCACATTTGTGAATAAGGATTATAAGTTATAAGAAGATACCTGTTTTTAAGAAGGAAGGGAGGAAGCTAGGCATGGTGGCACAAGCCTTTAATCCCAGCATTCCAGAGGCAGAGACAGGAGGATTTCTATGAGTTTAAGGCAAGCCTGGTCTACATAGTAAGTTCTAGGACAGCCAGAGCTACATAGTGAGGTCCTTTCTCGAAACAAGAGAGAGGGAGGGAGGGAGGGAGGGAGGGAGGGGGAGAGGGAGAGGGAGAGGGAGAGGGAGAGGGAGAGGGAGAGAAAACAACAATCCTATTTTTTCTAATTCCTAATTGTAATGATAATGGGAGTGACAGAAAAATGACATCTACCTTCTTTTTCTTTGAGACAGTCTCACTATGTAGATCTGACTGGCCTGGAACTCACAGAGATCCACCTGCCTTGGCCACTTGAGTACTAGAACTAAAGGGGTATGCCACTAGGCCCAACTATCATATGCCTTCTTGTTAAAGTTGATTTACCAAATTTGTCTTTCACTTTTCATTCCTTCATTACAAAGTGTGTCTTGACAAGAAGAGAAACAACCATTTTCAAGGCTATTAAAAACAGCTATTAAAAAGGCTATCTGGTGAATCACAGAACTAGTTTCAATATGTAGGTTAATTATGATTCTAGTTTTATTTTACTTAGATAAAAACTCATTTTAGGTACAATAATTCCATGGGCATTCTGACATAGCTATAGAATTTTAGAACATACTAATGCTTATTTTGTGTAGTTACAATTATACAATATTACTTGTAATGTGTAGCATTGCAGTGAGTCAAATTTCTCTACTTCTTAGTATAAGACCAACTAGAATAATTACTTTTTTAAGAAAAATATTTTTATTCATTTTATATACCAGTCAAAGATCCCCCTCTTCCCTCCTTCCACCCCTCTAGCCTCCCCCTCCCAACTCACGCCCCCCCCCCAATTCCCTCCTACAAGAAGGTAAGGCCTCCCATGAGGAGGCACCTTTAGTAGAGGCAGGTCAAAGCCCCTCCCCCTGCCTCAAGGCTGTGTGAAGTGTCCCATCATAGAAGTGGGCTCCAAAAGGCCTGCTCATGCATCAGGGATGGATTCTGATCCTACTGCCAGGGGGCCCCCCAAGCAGATCAAGCTACACAATTGTCTCGCTGTGCAGAGGGCCTAGTCCAGTCCCAAGCAGGCTATACAGCTGGTGATCTAAATGTCATGCATTCCCACTAGCTTGGATTGGTTGTCTCTGTAGGTTTCCCCATCATGACCTTGATGCACTTGCTCATAGAATCTCTCTTCCCTCTCTTTGACTGGACTCCTGGAACTTGGCCTGGTGCTTGGCTATGGATCTCTGCACCTGCTTCCATCAGTTACTGGAGAAAGGCTCTATGATGACAGTTAGGGTATTCATTGATCTGGTTACTGGGAAAAGCCAGTTCAGGCACCCTTTCCAGTATTGCCAGTAGTCTAAGCTGGAGTCATCCTTGTGGATTCCTGTGAACTTCCCTAGCTCCCGGTTTCTCCCTATCCCCATGATGTCTCCTATCATGGTTTCTCTTTCTTTGCTCTCCCACCCTATCCCTGTTCCAGCTCAAGCATCCTAATCCCTTGTGTTCTCATGCCCCATCCTCTACCCTCGATTGCCCACCCCTCATCCCCAGTTTACTCATGGAGATCTCATCTATTTTCCCTTCCCAGGGTGATCCATTCATCCTTTTTTGAGTCCTCCTTGTTAGCTAGCCTCTCTGGAGCTGTGGGTTGTTGTCTGGTTATCCTTTGCTTCACATCTAGTATCCACTTATAAGTGAGTACATACCATGTTTGTCCTTCTTAGTCTGGGTTACCTCACTCAGGATGATATTTATAATAAGTACTTTTATAAGTAATTTTTTTCTCCTTTTCCTTATATGACCTTTGTTGTTATTATTCTTATTGTTTTGCTTGTAAGTTTGTTGAAACATGATCATATGTAGCCCAGGCTGACCTCTGAACTTGTAAGACAAGGATGACCTTGAACTCTGATTCTCCTGCCTCTAATTCCTTTACACTAGAATTGTAATCATGTGCCATTACACCATAATTTTTTTTTTGTTGTTGTTTTGGTTATTTTTGAAGCAGGGTCTCGCTGTGTAGCCTTGGCTGGCCTAGAACTCACTTTGTAGATTAGGCTGACCTCAGACTCACAGAGATCTTCCAGATCTGCCTCCCAAATGCTTTATATGACTTCTTAATCAGAGGGAAAATGTTATTTTGTATCTTCAAGTTCAAGACAATACATTAACTATCAAACAGAATTTTTATACCCATTATTCTTTATAAAATGAGAGATAATTTTTGATGAGAATATTTTTAATATCACCTTAAATTCAGTAAGTATCCTAGGATATTACCACCAAAGGTAATAGACAAAAAAATTATAATTTGAAATTTCAAAATAATACTTAAGTTTGCTAAGTCATTCATTTGCTCATTTGTTAATTCACTCAAAAAACATTAACAGGGTGCTGTTCTACATCAAACACTGCTTTTAGCATGAGCAATGAGTTGTAGAAAAATACAATATCATCCACATCATATACTCTAGTGAAACATAAGCAGCTAAATCATTAATAACTGTGCCATAATGTTGTAACAGTTCTAAGAAGAAAATAGTGGGCAAGGTAAGAGCACAGATCACCAGTACCCCCACAGAACTTTCTTCAATAACGATCTTTGTTGTCCAACATGGTTACTATTGTCTTTGTGTTGTTTTGGGGCTCCAGAAATGTAGCTAGTTTGGACAATGTATTGAGTTTATTTTGTGTAATTAAATTAATTTTAATGGTTACATATAGCTAGTAGCTACTGTTTTAGACCATACAGGGACAAAGAAGAACACAGGTGTGGACAGAGGGAGATTTGTTTAGAGATTAGTCAGCATAGAGACCGGAACAAAGCAAGGAAGTGAACTGAAACTAGCCCTCCCCAGAGGAACAAGCCTAAATTGAAGTCCAAACAAGGATGACAACAGTGATAAGTCATTAAGGTCATCGGTGACTGTTCTTTAAGACCTCCCCATCAGTACTTCTATATCTGAGTGCTCTACCAAGTATAGAGAGAGGAGTCAACCTGTGGGACAGAAAGACTAGTAAGCAACGCTGTCCCTGAAGCCCATCCTCCCCAACGACTTAGATTACCTTCTTTGAACATAAAAAGAAACTTACTTTACCAGGTATATTTCTGTTGCCTCAGCAGCCAGAGAGTTAGCACTAAATCACCTTATATTTTTAGAATAACTATCACCTATTTTTCTCTGTAGCATTTTAAAGTTTTATTGCTTTATTCCAGTTTATTGATTTCTTTTTCCCTTTTACTGAAAATAGATTCTTTTTTCATATGATATATTCTGATTACAGTTCCCCTCCCTCTACTCATCCCAGTTCTTCCCCACTTCTCCTCCCCTCTCATACAGATCTATTCCCTTTCTGTCTCTCATTAGAAAAGAAGTTTTGAAGAGATAACAACAAAACATAACAAAATGAAATATAATAAGATGAAGCAAAAACCATCATATAGAAGTTGGGCAAGGCAAACCAACAAAGGAAAAGAGCCTAAGAGAAGGCACACAAGTCAGAAACGCACGTGTTCACACAATCAGAAATCACATAAAAACACTAGTCTGGAAGCCATAATATATATACAGAGGACCTGGTGCAAACTCATGTAGGCCCTGTGCATGCTGCCTCAGTCTCTGAGTTTATATGAGCTTTGCTCATGTAGAGTTAGAGGTCTTTGTTCTGCTGGTGCCTGCTATCTCCTCTGACTTCCATACTCTTTCTGCCTCCTCTTTGGTGGGGTTCTCAGAGCCCTACTGTGGATATCATTCTATATAAATAAAACACTGATGGCCAGTGACCAGACAGGAAGTATAGGCGGGACAAGGAGAGAGGAGAATTGGGGAAACAGGAAGAAGGGAGAGAGACACTGCAGCCACCGCCAGGACAAGCAACATGTAAAGACGCCGGTAAGCCACCAGCCACATGGCAAGGTATACATTTATGGAAATGGATTAATTTAAGCTATAAGAACAGTTAGCAAGAAGCCTGCCACGGCCATAAAGTTTGTAAGCAATATAAGTCTCTGTGTTTACTTGGTTGGGTCTGAGCGGCTGTGGGACTGGCAGGTGACAGAGATTTGTCCTAACTGTGGGCAAGACAGGAAAACTCAAGCTACAAATGGCGCCCAACTGCTCGAGTTTCTGCCTTAAACCTGAGAATGTTTAATAACCAATTCTAAACAGAGCCAAAAACAGGTTCCTGCTTCTTGTCTCATACGGGCAGCTAGACACCGCAAAACACGGGTTTTAACACTGGCGGGTTCCTGGCGTTTGCTTTTGACCGGCAGTATGGCGGAAATGAGGCCTCTGCCAGCGGCATATTATGCTGTGTGGTAGATTTAGTCTTTACTAGTATTTTTTTTAAAAAAAAAAAAAAAAAAGAGGTTTCTGGGCTACACGCTGCTTTGATAAAAGCGTAGACCTACTATTCTGAGACTTGATGACTCCCAGAGCTGGAAAAAACATACCACCGCCATGTTGAAAAGCTGAAGGGGGCGGAGCCAGCAGCCACAGCACCGTTTCAGGCTTAAAAGGCTACAGTCAATAAGACTGATTCAGATAAAATAGTTTATAATACATGTAAAAATGTACGTAGGCTTAAAAGACAAAAAAAATACCATTATATAAACAAATACTATCTAAAAATAAATTGTTTAAAAAAAAAACACTGAAGGTAATAAGCCACATAAAGATGGCTATCACACACAAAATCTGGATTATTCATAACTAAACAAAAACATTTGATTGTAAAAGCTGTTCAGTTATGCCAAAATGTAAATTTTAAAGGTACCTTGACTTCAAAATTTGGATATAAGGATATGTTACTTTGGAAAAAAGGTTCTGCTTTTGTTTCCACAGAAAGCCAGAGGCTATGGATTTGTTCCAGATTAAGATACATCAGGTTTGACCAGCCAAGACCCCCTGAAAGGTCTCCGATGACACCATGGCCCAGATGACCCAACATCCAGAACGGTTTCAAGGCAACTGGCTCCCACAATACAGCCTCA